TTTCATTGTCATTAATAAACATCTGAACATTTACTCTTAGTGGAATAGTAGTTCTTTTTTTTGTTTGTTTGCTTTTCGTTTTGGCAGATACAGGAATTGAACCCTGGATCTCTACACTGTAACCAAATGAACTAACCAGCCAGCCCAGGAATTACAGTTCTTTAACTTTAGATTACATAAGAATCACCTGGCAAGCTTGTTAAAGATGTAAATTACTGGATCTCGCCTCCAGAGATTCTGGTTTTGAGAATGTCATCTGCATTTTAAAAATACACTTTTGGTCAGTGCTTCATATTTGGAGAAATGCTTTTGTAGAGTATTAAGCCCCCTGCTGGTGAATAGTCTTAGAAAACGATTACCAAATACTCTTTATCCTGAAATTAAGGATGTCAGTGAGAGGTAAATGGAGCGCATGCCATATTATTTGAGGTAGTTAGACATACAAGGTAATTCCATCCTTAAAGCCAGGCGTAAGATGCTCGGAGATTTCTTTCCCCTCACCCAACCTCCATCCCCTCGATTTTCACAGTACAGTATTTTCTTTATTCCAAGATAGGTGCTGAATTTCATTATCTAAAGAAAACAGGCTGATATAACTTAAAAAACCTGTGAATATTTTCTCATTGACTCAGAATTTATGAATTGAAATTTCTGATAATTTGAAGAAGGGCTTAATGGGCCTTATTTTCTGTTGGTGTAACTTTTATAGTAGGCAATACATTCACATGGTTTAAAACTAGAAAGTAAAAGGAAGTATAGAGAAAAATCTACCTGATATTTTTGTACCCTCTCAGTTCCCAATGTCCTCTAACACCATCCTTCTTGGTTTCTTATTCTTATACAGTGCAAGCAAATACAAATGAAAGTTCTTATTTTCCATCTCTTTTTTACAAAGTATGGCATACAATACACATTTTCTGCATTGTGTTTTTCCTTTAATAATATATTTTGAAGGTCTTTCTGTATTAGTAAACAGACACCACCTTTATTTTTTTTATAGCTGCATAGAATTCTATTATATGGATATACCATAATTTATTTAGGCCCTGTTGATGGACATTTGGGTTATTTCTAGTGAACAATCTTGTACGTATATCACTGTGTATCCATATAAGATTATCTGTAGGATAACTTCCCCTTGGTGAAATTGCTAAATCAAAAAATATATGCCTTTATAATTTTGATAGATATTGACACATTTACCTCCATAGTCATTATATCACTATATGTACCAGCAATAATTCCTCACAGCCTTGCTAGCGTCATCAAACTTAAGGAGTTTTGCAATTCTGTTAGATGGTATAATAGTGCAGTTTCAATGTGTATTTCTTTTATATTGAATGAGATTAAATCCCTTTTCATATATTTCACTGTCTGGTCATACCCTTTAGGGCTAAGTTTTATAACAGATATTTTCTTCTTAATCAAAACTCCTAGTACACTGCTATACTAAGAATTCAGCAAAAGCTTGGTTGAACTAAATTTAGTAGTTCTTTACTTGCTGGCATAACAATATGTTCCAGGCTCATGTTAAGACTACCCTGCCCCAGCCCTGGAATCAGCCATTTCTCTGAGGAGACCTGGTTCTTTTTAGCGATGAATGATATTATAGATCAAGGGCTGGCACTAGGGATGGTCCTTGCCTCTTGGCACTTTCACTGGACAGATCTAGGAAATGTATACATTTATACATATACATACACATGCACACGCAAGTATATACACACACGTACACATGCACACACACACGTACATATGTACAAATACATATATACGTGAAACATGTGCATAT